TTATATAATATCATTAAAATTGTAACCTGTATTTTAACGAATAATAAAAATTTACAGGATAATGAAGTTTCCTTACGAAAAAAAGAAAAAAACGCCATTCTCATAATAGAGAATAATGAGGGGCTAGCAGAAAATTTAATGGAAGAAGGAAAAGTGGAAAGAGACCAAGAAAACGGCGGTTATCTTTGTTGGCGAAAGTCAAGAAAAGAGCAGGTTAAACTCTTAACGGATTCCACAAGGTGGTTAAGTACGAGATAAAAAGGTAAACTTCGATTGTGCAACTTTTAGATACCACGATTGGTTCGATTATGCAAAGTACGCCTGCTGTATCGGCGCAATGACACGCAACGAAATATTTTAATCTTTCAGGGTTGAAAAAGTTGCCCCACGTCACATAAAAGCAATGGAAATTCACAAGGATATCACATAGTTCGAATTTCAAAAATGGATTAGTTCACGAAAGCCGCAGTTGTAAAGTAAAAATGATCAAGTTACTCTTATATTTTAATTTAATTAATTTCACTGAACTTCGCCTCATTCGTGCAACTTCAGGGAACTTTCCTTCACTTTCTACTTTGTGTACTCAGAACAGTGTCTAAATACGATGTTTCGAAACAAAAATCCTAACCTAATTTAACTCTTCTTACAATTAGTTACATCAAAACTTCCAAGTAAACGTCTCCTCGTTCCTTAATAAATTTTGAACTTTTTAACTTGGAGTTTAAGTAAATCATTTTTAGAAACTTCAATTTTGTCGTTGCAAAACTCACGCGAAGTCTAGTCTGAAAGTGAACGAAACTTCTTTCGTGGTATCGTCTTACCAAAAAGTCGCAACTTCCATAATAGGTCACAGCTAAATTTCTCGCTAATTTACAGGCAAGAGGCAAAGGGCCATTAATAACCGTTGTAGCCGGCCGAAATACCCGTAATTTCAGTTTTGGTATCCAAGGCGCGCCTGGTAAATATTTGAATGCGACACGACGTGGCAAACGAGATTCGCAAGGGTAGAAGTCGAAACCGGTGAGCCGTAGGCCGATTGTACTCGGTCGCTCTGTTACCGACGGAGTAGGCACGAAAATACGACTAAATCTTTAACGGGCCTGCCGAGTCGGAGATCGACTCGGTCTAGCATGAACAGTAAGACTCTCCTTTCCGTGCGCACCGCTTGCACGCCAGAACTTCCCAGTTTCGCGTTAAGTGTAATAATATACGGTTTGTTGGAACCTCGCGTATTTAAGACTCCAAGTAGCAGCGTGCCGTGTACGAGTTACTTCAACTTCGTCGTTTAAACTCGTTACAACGGTTTACTAGATAACTCGATACGTAATGAGATATGTACTTACTTATCTGCAGTTTTAGCTTGGGGGTTGAAAAATGTGATGTTATTGATTCCGGTTCACGAGGCAGTTTTAACAAATGATCATTGCCTATAATTGTTACAAAGAATGGAAATGAATGAAGTTGTCTGTTTTACGGTTCAAATAAATTTTGACGCGTTAATGAAGTATTAATTTGAGGTTAGAGTTACTTCTGAAAAATGTGAGTACGTATATTTTTAGATATAGCACTGTATATAACTGTTATTGAATAACTATTGAAATTTCACAGGTGTAAAAAGGAGGTGAACAATCCTATAATTCTCGGTGCTGTCGTTAACTAACTTTTCGTAACACATATTTATTTATATTTATTATAATAACAACTTCGAACCGGTTTCAAAATATTGTTATTTTAACTATGGCGCTTTATCCAAGTAATTCTATAAACAAACAGGTATGCAAAAATTCTTCACCTATTCACTCATCTACTATACCAATTCATTCTACTTTCCTAGATTATCACAAACATCGAAGAGACAAATTTTTTATCTAAAGATTCCAAAGAGATATTTCCAAGGCACGAACACTACGAACGGTCCTACTAAAAGAAATGACTAAGCCCTGTAAATTAAGCCAGAGAAAACAACATGATTCGAACGTGAACGTTGTGGAAGCAGCGGTCCTTGAGGTCTTGACACGGTTGTATGGAGAAGAGGCTTCGCTGCCAGAGGAAGTTCGGTATGAGCGCAGATTTATGCGCTCGCTCGACCAACGTTGAGCTCGTCTTTCCTATGTAAATACCGAGCCATCTTGTTTACGCGAAGCTAGAGAGAATATCGCTAGGCAAAGACCGTATTTACCGGATTTCCATGCTCTCTATGCGCAGTCGTCAGAAGAAGATGGTTCGGCTTAAATCAGACCGCATTCGTTGAAATAATGTGCTTACATTCTTTCTTTAGATACTCGAGTGTTCAGGTCGCGCAAAAATACAATGCCTGTGGATTATTCTGAAAAACGACGTACTTTACTGTTAAACAAAGTCGATGTTCATTTTTGTCACTATATTGTTGAATATGAGGTTCAATTTGTTTATAAAGAAGAAAAAAAATGTTTCAGTGAAGGATCTAGAAACAGATGATGGGAGCCATTGCTTATCCAAGAAAATAATTTAAAAATATATTATGTCGCATATTTTATCTAATCGAGTGTATTGTAATTATTCTGATGGAAATTACTAATTTACATGCAAACATGAAGGTTGCTGTTGACTGACATTTAAAGAGCAGGTAAATAATAGAAGTCTATACATGTTATCATTATTTACCCCTTGCCCTACGATTTAAGATCCGATAGTACGTACCATAACCAACAGCAGAGGCGGTCGCACATCGAGTCACTTGGTCCAAACGCGGCAAAGAATAACACGTAACTGAGACGGAAAGACATCGACGAAAATTAACCACGAACTTTACCTGTGATGTTTACTTACCTACCTACGAATCACGGCTGTCACCCGTGGCAGTCATGTTTGGCCTGAGTTCCGTAGCACGACCTCATAATATCGTAGGCGAAAAGCTTAATATTGTCTTAGAAACAAGTAAGTACTTGATATGAGAGACTGTTAAGCATAGGAAGTTGGTCATTGATCTGTGCAAAGTGAATGTTTTGGTAATGGTACTGAAACTTGCAAATCTAATAAACTCTTACGAATATATTTGCGTTAGCTATAGCATTAGTATGTTATAAAAGAAGAAAATTATATTCAGTCTATAATTCATAATAACGTGATGAAATAACTATAACTTTAATATTTTATATAATAGATTACCATAGTTTCCTGAAAATAAAATTTATATTACGTTCGGATCATTTAACGAAGATACTTTGTAAGATACTTGAACGAGTAATGCACAAAGGATTATGAGGAAGACAATGGAAATATTAGTCAGTGTGATGGTATGAATACTGACGAATATTCGAGAAGAAAATGTTACGGCTAATGGATTACAACATGAACTGTATTACACAGGCTGTTTAACTTGCGCCAGTTATAAATGAAGCAACTTCTCAGGAGTCAGTTTGGGGAAGATAGCAAATTCCGTGCTGCTGAAGTAACTTCTTCTGAACGCCGCTCTGAAAAGCAAACGAACAGTGAAAGATGATCCCTCCGTTAACTCTGACAGTGAACAGATTTCAAGGGAATCGATGACAAGAAAAATAATTTTATCCCTACTTTTGTGAATATTTTAGTCGATAACCTCAAAAATTATTACTCTCACGAAGGGTGTTGTCCGAACATTCTATAATAATCTATTCCAATTAAATTTATGATGGATATAGTCTTTCAAAAGATATTTGATTTATATCTTTTTTACCAATCGTGGATAGGTAATATCCTTTATAAAATATACGATAAACGATAATATTAGTAATAATTTTTTATGATTGTTTTACAAACAAGAAATTCAGTTTACAAATAAATATACTTTACTCGTTGGTGATGTTAAATAAGTGAACTTTCACTTACTTAAAAGTTTCATTTTTGGGATTAGAAGTTCGTTACTGGATATGACAGGCTCAATTTTTATATCCCGTTTTATTCGAACGATATTTCGAAAAGAATTCCGATGCAAAGCGGATGAAACTTTGATTTTCCCGGATTTTATTGGCGAAACAATTTTATAAAATTGTTTTATGATTTGGCGATTCGTTTCAAATATTCAGCGTACTCGGCGTTCACGTTGCAACGAATGTAACGTAAAGCACAGCGCGGTCACCGCGGCGAAACCGTTCGGATATTTTCGCCGAATCTATTCGTTCACGTTCGGAGAAAACATCGGGCACGCGATCTCCGTTTAAATACCGAAGAACAGGTGTGCCATTAGCGACGGTTAGCTGGCGTGCTATTCGTCCCAGACGCAAAAGAAAACAAACCAAGAACGAAACGAAACTGTGTACCGGCCTTTGTTACCATTAATTTAGCGGGCATAAACATCGAAGAACGCCGCTACCATTCTCGTTAAGCCGTGCTGAAACTTTTTCGCAGTAATGTTTCTCCACGAATGGAAAGCAAAGAGAAGTCGAGGAAAGACAATGACCGTGTTCGCGTATTTTGAAAGAGTTGTTGTTGAAACTGTCCCTGCGTGCATACATATCAACCCAGTCGAAATGCAAATACCATATGTTGCGGATGATAGCGGTCTTGATAGTATAATATATGACTTGAAATTTTAGTTATCGTACGTTGGTCAACCTGAACGTGGCATTGCCTCATTTGTAAAGAGATAGAGAATTAAATTCGATGAACGAAGACTATTCAATTTTCATCTCGACGATTATCGTCGGCGTGTTACGAACGAATCCGTTGCTCCACTGGAAATCATTTTAATTACCTTTCCAATTTCTACGGTTTGATTATAAGAAGTAGATCGAGTTCTATTCGCTTCGGCTGCATTTTTAATCACTTTCATCCAACTGCAGGTCTCTTTAGGAGTGCTGCGTGACAGAGATAGAATGCGAACTCGGAAGAGAGATAGAGCGAGGACTAAACGGAAAGGAGAATCAATACGATGGGAAAATTTCAGAGAATTAAGTGGCTCAATTTCGAGTGGCGGAAGATGATTGTATCGTTTACTCTTCGCTCTTCTGGTGAGTATATTAACGCATCAGAATTCAAAGCACGCGAACATGATTCCTGGCTAAATGAAATGAACCCGTTAAAAAACGATCGCATCGCTGAAAGAGGACGCCAGACGAGAAAGGAGGATAGAGATAGACGAGGAACGACAACCGCTGAAATATCCTGTTCAACGAAACGTTAATAGCCATGCGGATACTAAGGGGAGAACGAAATTGTCCCATTTCTACCAAATGAACTTTTCAACGGGACAAATCATGTATTAATTTCGCGGTCTATCTCTGCAGTATACGAACTTGCTTCATTCGCCTTTTGTCGTGGATTTTGGTGTTATTGCATTATCCCGTGAATTGCTTCTCGTACACTAGGTGGAAAAATAGTAAAAAATTTGAGTTTACTTTTGTCGGTAGAACTGCACAATTGCGGTTCAATGCATACAATTCTACAGCGATTTCGTATAAAATCATGTTCCATTTACTTCTTCGGTTAACAGGATGTTTAAGTAAAAACGTCAGTATTTTTGTATTCATCACTCACAAAAAACGATACAAATTTATCACATTTCGTGATTTCTTTTTCAAGGTCATCGACATTTTCTGCACATTAGTGTCTTCTTTTCATAATCCAACATTGCTGTGGACATCAAGAACAATTCCAAGATTCACAATACCATAACCTACAAAGAAAAAAAAAATTACAAAAATCTGAATTAAGTATTTTTTTTTATCATATCAAATGTTTATTTTATTTTAAATATTATAACTATACTATACTAGCTTAATTTTTCAACTATACATCTTATAACTTTTACAACTGTATAAAACACCTTTTTAGGTTATAACGTCTAACGTTCTTTGGATACTTCAATAAATCAACCGAATATTTGCTTCAAAATGAATTTTGCAGAGAAGAGTATCGTGATATGTATAGAAGAGACCAGTCGAAGAACGACTGTATGAAAAAATAGTGGAATGTCATAGGAAACGGGGGAGAAGGGTGGATCGTAGATAAAATATCCTCCCGATGAAGCGTTAATAGCAGCATTGATACTAAGGCACGAATTAAACGACGGCGCCTGTTTCATCTCCGAGCGGAAATTAATTTCGCTCATCTCGCTAGCTGCCAGCCCGAGTACAGATTGAGCGCATTTTAACGAGAACACTACGTTCCGTTTTACGTTCCTTCTCGACAGATTAACGGTAACGAAGGACGCGTAGTATTCTGCCATTTGGCTTTGCATTTTGTGATCAGATAACCTGTGTACTCTCGTATCGTAATTTTGAGTTTCGGACGAATTAACGACAAGCTAAATGATCACTACGTGTACAGGAAGACCAAAGTGCAACAACTATAGACGTAACGAATTTTCGGAAATATTTGGAGGAAATAATTTTTTGTGACCATTTATTTCGTACTATAAACAACGATATTCTTTTTTTTTAGTGTAGGTACATGGAATTTCTTTTTGATAATTTTTTATACTATTACGGTTAAAAAGGGAAAGGATTGAATGACGCAAATTCAATTAAAATTAGTTCTTGGTTAATTCCGGTTGGCACACATTTGTTCGGCCTCGTACATTTAGGAGGATATTACGAGTGTTCGAAAGTTATGTAGTTAGTACCTTCATGATTAACGCAAAAGCTTTGCTTGTGCTGTGAGCACCGAAAAGCTGACTAGAAGGGTTTGAGTAATGGATGGTGGTCAAAGATGAATTAGAATGAACTGTAATACCACTTTGCATTAAATACAATAAAATGGAAGGTCGTGACACGTCGACGAAGTATAATATAATTAATGAGATAGTGCCTAGTATCACAGAGATCATACGAAACAGAAATTTCCACAAGTCGCTATATCTAAGCATTTCGTTTGTACATATCCATTAATCTAACTCTACTGCCCTTATGTTTGAGATAAGTTAGATGTTAGTTAAATGATAAGGTGATATTTGGGTCTATAGTAGGCACAGGCAAGAATAGGAAATGTGTAATCAATATAATGACCACAGGGATCTCTCTTCAAATCTATTTTTATTATTTATCAATATTGCAAGCTCTCTTCGCAGATACGGCTTTTGCATTGAAATGAGAGGAAGATAAAATTACTAAATACTCGGAAACATGAAAAATTAAATCAAAATGAAAAATCAAAGAAATTATTTTTCTTAGTGGTTTAGATGTAGAACTTTCATTAATACTCTACGTTTATTAAGTTAACTAAAAACCAAGCAGTTTCATAAATAACGTGTTAGGTTCGAGACAAGCAACGTGAAACATAGCAGCTTGTTAGGGGAACTGAAACAGAACACACAGTACATTACCTGCTATTGAACCCGAGAATGATACATATGTTTTTGCCAAGTTTCAATAATTAATGGTGAAGTATATAATAGAATTACTCGGTTGCCAATAGCAACCAGTTGAATTTCGCATAGCTATTCAAAGTGATATTGAGACAAATGAGTATAATTGATCAGTTAGCTAAAGCTATTAGGCTACACATAGCGAGTCGAATCAATTGGTCAATGCTTTGGCTAGCAGATAATTTTATAGACTATGACATAATGAAGGATAATGAACGACCAATTTTGCCGAGTCCGCAAATACTTGTGAAAATATGAAACAAATGATAAATCAAGAAAAAATGCAAAGAATAAAAAAAGATTATAAAAATGAATATAAAGGAACGACTATTAACATAACAATGGAAAACGAAATTATACGGTCGATACTATGGAGGCGGGAACAATTCCTAAAGCGTAAAGACATCTTGTAGGAAATATATCTCGAGAGATGAAGCACAAAGATAATACGAACTATCCACCTGGAGCTCGAGAAGTACTGCTGCATAATGCAACGTGTCGCGTGAATCTTATTTTACGACACACGCACGTCGCGATGCCTTAGAAAATAATCCTTATCGAGATAATAAATGTATGAGACTGCATCTTACAAAGGCAATGGAACAGACTAGCATCTTGTATCAAAATTCTTTCTCAAAGCAAGTATAATAATAAGAATTAGTTACAAATCGTAGTTTGTGTCTCCTTTAGACGAACTGCCTTTAAACTGACGTAGCTAGATCGACAACATGCACTGTGCAGAGATGAGAAGGTAGCTGGCCTGTCTGATTGGCTGTAACGTAACCGCGATGCTTACATACGCAGGCTTATTATTGGCTGAGGCAATCACATCTACAAGTCTGTCGCGTGACAGAGAACGCAAAAGAAACATATCGAGTGAGATATACATACAGAGTGAGATATAGTAGTAGGGACTGACAGTCGCCTAGCTAGCTGTTGCTTTGTGATTTCTGAGAAGATATTTTAAGAATATTTCTACCCTTGATATAACATAAATATTCCTCGCTTAAAGATTTCAAATAAGAAATTATAAATCTTTTCTAGTTCTTCTTCGAATTTTTAATAAGAGAATTCTCTTATGTTGAAATATAACGAATAGAAGAATTTAATTTCTATTATATAATTGGAGTTTTCCTAATTAAGTAAGACGCTCATATTCAATTTTGTTAATTTTCGTGGATATGAATGTTTGCTACTATGTAGTGTGATCGCCAAGAACCTAAAAGTAGTGTTTTCTAAGGGGGGAGAATTAGGAAGGGGAGAATTAATAACGCATTCCTCCCTCACCTATCTGTCGTGCGGTTTGTAGGTAGCCAACTTCACATCGCTGCATGTTATAGCGATAAAGGCTCACTCACTGAATCAATCCGATATTCGATGTTGAGCGTTAAGAATTAAAAACAGGTTACCTATCTTAAAAGTACCGACTCTTAATTGTGTACAAACAGCGTAGTTTCTTATTGTATATACAGCACAAAGTGACGATAACATGATATTTTTGACAAACAAGAAAATCCGACTAGAAAAAGCACGACGTCGCGTGACGAATACAGAGCAAACATAAAGGAGGAATCTGAGTGCACGTGCGGGTAATAGGGTTACACAACTATGACAAACAATTCGTTAGAATGGGGTTAGCGTAAAATCGTTGCCCCGTGCACGATGTTTATTTCGTAACGAGTCCACGATCACCATGAATTATTATCTAGTCGATTGTGAAGTGTTTATCGAAAAACGATACAACTGTGAAAAATGATTCGTATTCTGCTCCGTCGATTTTAACGGAAACAACTCGTATTCGATGCCGAAAGTGATACCTCTTATTCCGTTTCTTCTTTCAAGGAAATTTCTTTGGACTATGTACCGTGTCGATATTTTTCATTTTTCCAAAAAAAATGTATTCGGAAATGAATCAGGTGCGTAATTCGTAAAAATCTATTTGTTATTAATCTTATAGCGAATAATGTAAGACACGAAATTCTAGCTCAATTTTAAATTTTAAATCGATAGATTGAGAGCTGTAAACACGGAACGTTTCTCCCGGACCGCTGTTGGTTCAGTTCAATTTCCTCGACCGTTATAAAGCATTCTCCATTTATAATTCGTCCTTCGATAACATTTTATTCATTCCCATTTTCTTTGCGCGACACGTCGATTTCCGTATAATCAATGAATAATACGTACTGCAGCCATTGAAAAGTCAGTTATTTGCTGGGACAAAAGAGAAGGAAACACAAGTCACACTCGAAGCTCTTGTGAAATTCAAACGAGAAACACGTGCAGTATACAATCCTGAAATATAAGAGTCAGATAACATCTAATATTTTTTTTATTGTTATTCCAGATTTTAGAACACCTATTCTAGACAGAAACAAAACGAGGGATGCTGTTTGCGACGATATGTTTCTCGTAATTCGTCAATATCAGAGACGGTTCTGGAGACGGTTTCGACGTTGCAGAGTGAGTTAGTTGATAATTCAAACGTTATCAGAAGGCGACACGCGTATTCGTCGCACGGCGGCAAGAAACGCGTTCCTATCTGCGCGAAAAGACGGCTTTTCCACGGTTGGTGCACCGCATAAATGATACATAAACACTAGTCTGTAAGTGTGTACATAAGCGAGAAAAGCGTGAAGCTAGGCGCCGCGCTACGTAACGAGACGCTCTACGAAGCTGGGCAAACATATATAGAAATTGGAGCCTACTCTCGCATCCCTTTCGTACTTCTCTTCCTTTGCCCGAATTAGTATCGCTGTCTTTTCACTTCCTTTGCGAGCGACTTTTCTCCAAAGCATTTATTTTTCCTTATTTCCTTCCTCTGTTAGCACTTGAGCGCTATGTACATCTTTTCAATGAGATAATAAAAAAAACTCGCCTATTTCTCATTTGCAATGAATCACGTATTTTTGTTCCAGAGGTACACTTAAAAAAGGAGCACGTCCAGTTTGCCTAACATCAATGGGTCTTTCCGAATAAAAAGAAAGGATAGATAATTTCGTTTCAACGGTACCATGAACACGTTGGTGGAGACCGCAAGAGGAGAGGAGATTACCTTGGTGAAAAATAGCGACCTTTTCCTTCGCTTTCCCAGTATAAAGTTGCAGTGCGCAATATGCGGCTTATAGGTTAGGTACGTGTATCACGGTAACGTGTGAAACGTTCGTTATACCTCGATTCCGGAAATGTATTCTTCCATTTTGATGCGCCCGGGAAAAGATGCACGTACTCTGCCAGCGGCGTTTTTACACTTTCCACGGTGACGCGATATGGAAAAGAAATGAAAAGCGCCGTCATAAAGGACACATTGACGTCTGAAACTTTGTGCAGTCGTTTTCTGTTACCGCTTCGATACTCGTGTCGCCTCTATGGGCTCTCGCGTAAGAAACGACGGCCCGTGATATCTGGCGGGAAAAAAAATTCTACTCGAATGCTTTTACCTACGAAATTGCTGGCTTGAATGCCTGCCGATGTACCTTTCCGCCGTCACGTGATACGTTACCTTTTACATTGCCTGACTACTGCTTGTTAATCGTACTCATGTTAACATACTATTTATTTTCCTTTTCGCAGACAACAAACGTCGACCTGTGTGGATTTCGCAGTTCTACATTACATCAGGGTTTCTCAATCCTTTTTGGCTTGCAATTCACTTCTGGACATTGGTACCTTTTATAGCCCCCTTTCCCTATTGCCTGCATATCTTCATCGTACTAATTCTTCCATTTCTTCGAATGGCCCCAAACATTCGGTGTTAGACCTCCTGAAGGTCATATAGTTTTGGTGTTCCATGATGCTGACAGTGGTCAGTTAGTTAACGACGATTTCCAATGATCATTGGTATTTGTATTTCAAAGTAAAGTCATCTCAAAATTAAATGAATTCTGATTATGATGGTTCAATATTTTATATACAACAATGAAATATAATTCGAAATATAAGGAATCGTTACACGTACTTAGCATATGGGAAGAACAAACATAGATGATTGTTAGTCGGAAAGAAGAATAAAATGAAGAGAAGACGTATAAACATGATACTCGTGAAGGAGGGCGACGTCTCGTTTCCTAAAGCAGCTTGGAATTACACGGAGTAAGGAGCGCTCGGAGTAAAGCAACGCTTGCAGTTTCTCGACGACCCGTAAGGATAATGCGGCAGACAATAATAATAATTATTCGCCTCGCGGTGCTTGTAATTGCCTAGTGTAACTCGTGATTCCACGATGTCCGCCGCATATACGAAGTTAGCCGGAGTACGCCGCGAACAGAGAAGGGACGCTCTGTCGCGGAAACTTCCTCTGTAATGCGGTTATTCCCCGCTCTCTTCCTGACCCTACTAAGATCACGCGAATAAATTAATTTCTCTCGAATGATGACGAGCATTTGAGCATCTGGCCCAGCTCATTCGTTCCCCTAGTTTCTCTAAAATCGTGTGGAACTGGTCTTGCTATTTTCTCGACTATTTTATCCGGTTATCAGTACGCATGCGCGGATACACGAAACGATACTTAAGTTTAGCTCGTTTGGCTGGTCGCCGGTAGCGTTTCACGCGATAACATCGAGATTATCGTCCAAACGGTGAGAAGCTCGATTCGCGCTAGCTTTGTAGTTACCGAATAACGAAGAAACTTGGCGAACAGTGAACGTATACCGGAAGCTTCGTAGCTAGGGCTCGATCGGGGTAAAAGTGGCTGATGAACATTTACGCGAGCCTATTAGAAGTTAATCAGGTCGTTGATGTGAAAGGTTGTTGAACTAATCGAATAGTACTTTTCTATATTCTTTTTATTTCTTTCTGTATTTTCACAAGTTTCAATAATCAATCTAGGATAACATTAGATATTACATTTTCGAAAAATTCGGAAAGGAATTATTCAAAGCACTTAATCCTAAATTTAATTATCGGTCGAAATTCTTACTTTGCAAGTAATTCTTTGCTAATTTCACTGCAAATTTCACCTATCGAATGCGTATCACAATTTTACAATTCATGTAGTTACGTACACAAAATAAAAGTTTAGTAGATAACTATGATTTTATTTAAGATGTTGAAAGTCATTTGAATTTACTGCTGAACGATTCACCTTGTAATTCCGTGGAAACTTTCATCATATTTACCGACAGAAGTCCCTTACGAGTTACGTAACGCTGAAAGTATCCGCGGCTCGGGCATTAATTAAAGTTTATTTAATTGTGTTAATTATTCACCAAAGGTTTGCGCTGTACGTTGGTGTTCGAGAGATCATCGTCGTTGAATCGGAGATTATCCGAAATCTGAGCAGCGTACATACTGCTACTTCGCAAGTTTAACCAAAGTCGAGCTCTGTTTATTCGCCTAAGATCGCCTAGCTAATGCCGAGCATACAGGAATGCGAAGTCACTAAGGAAGCAGATTTATTCGCCCGAGAGGATTTAACGCAAATACTTTTATCGCTGGATCATCCAAAAGACACAACTTTTCGCTAAAATTTGAAAAGTAGATCGGGAAACGGTCGCGAAGATTTAATTATTCCTCCGTGTTCAAACCTTGGCGCTTGTGAAATTCTATAAGAAAAAATTTAGGTTACAGAGATCGTACGCGAGAAGAAAAAGAGGAAAGAAGGGGGGAACAAAAACCGAGAGATAATTGACACGATACTGTCGGTATTGGCCAGGCGAAAATTCAAGTGGCAGAAGGAACGAAGAGCGAAACTCTGTCTTGGCTATCGAGCCCATCGACATAAAGGAGGATTTTCAATTAAGGCATAGCGGTTTTCGACCAACTCGAAAGAGCGAGTGCTGTTCTCGTCGAGAGCGTCCGCATGGCGATAGAGAGAGAGAAAGAGCAAGAGAAAGAGAGAAAGAGAGAGAGAGAGAGAGAGAGAGAGAGAGAGAGAGAGAGAGAGAGAGAGAGAGAGACGGACAAAAAGCTTAGCTTAACGCGGCGAGGGTGTAGATTAACTGACGCGTCCGTGGCTCGCACGCGGCTTGCTCGGCAATGGGAAAAGCTGCTTAGCTGCTCGAGGAGTCTACACCCTGCCAGCCTACACCCTCTTTGGATTCGCGCAACTTTGCCCGAGGGTCTTGCACAATGCCAACTATAACTTATGCGCCACTCTCTCTTCTCCACCAACCCCCTTTTTACCCCACCTTCTGTCCCATCCCTCCTCCGTCGTCAGCTACTCCGCTATCTTCGTCGTTCTTTCGCTCGAGAGCAGTAGCTGCATTACTCTTTCATTCGCCTCAACCTTCTCGCGGTTTACCTTTGCATACACACTCATGTGCCTTTGCCGTTACCGTGTCTGTTCGCTTTTCTTCCATGACGAGTACGGACTTTTTCAATGACAGCATTTCCCAAGTTTCTTCAGCTGGAACGCGTCTTGTAAATCCGGCGGAGACTTGACACTAGGCGGGTGCCAGCTGGCATTCTGATAGCTGTTGTTACTGTCTCTTGCTTCCTTCTGTTTCTACGAATACGTATATACATATATCTATCTAGCAAATACGTACTTTATAGTGCTTTGGTTTACCATATTTTGACAAAAGTGTTTGAAGGATGGTTAGTCACGTCGTATGTTCCTTTTTGGTAAACAGATTTACAAATGTTCGAAATGGTCCATATCTGCAAGACAAATGTCCATAAGCGTGTGTATACTTCAGAAATTAGTTGAGCATTTCTAAACGTATGGAATGTAGGAAATGAGTTTTACTTGCCAAAGTATTCGAATATGTCCTACGTTAGTGGTTTCTCTTTTGTTCGTATCTCTGCTGCTCGAACCACTTACTCATTTGTTGAACGAAATTTATTTTCCTTGAACTTATCCCTCTTCATGAAGCAATAAATACCGAAAATTTATGAAAATAGAATATCCACTTTGGTTACTTTTTTCAAATCTGTATCCAGGCTTGGGAAACCTTCTTTCAATAAAGGTACCTGTGTATATACGTGGATCTCGTTTAACGACACTCAACCCAGGTACGGAGGTATGCGGTCGCAAACGCATTGCTTTTCACATAGCAATTCTTCTATTCGCATTCATACGCTTTTTTAGCTGCTTTTTCTATTCTTCTCTTCTACATGAGCGATCATGTTCTATATGCATGCTTCCTCCCTTTTTCCGCTGCATTTCTTCGTTATGTCCATCTTCTTTTCCTTCATTATTATACCGACAGCGTAGGAAAGTTTACGTAAAGCTGGCGTGTAGCACAATTTTTCACGCAGTTTTTCTTCCGCAGTGAACTTACGTATATCGAGGAAATTTCATTTCTCCATTAGAGAAAAGATATTACGTATTCAAAATTGTATCTCGTTTTGAAAAACTACATATTAGCTTCATTCTCCTGGAAAGTTTAGAACAGAGAATAAAACATTCGATGGAAGAAAATATTTCGATGAGTGAAATATCGAGTAGTCACTGAAGCTATCAATTTATACTATATTTAAATAAAAACTTTTTACCTGCTCATAACTGACTCCTTATGGAACGCTCATTTTATCGAATCCCATTAAGAAGATATTCTCTAGATTGCAAGAATATTTGCTGATGCCGTTTCCATTACTTTTAGTAGTTAATTCCCATGAACCATCGCAGACGGCGTGTATCACAAACAGTCGTATCTACTCGCACCACTCTCTTTCCAGCGTTTCTCACCGTTCGTGGCACTTAAGTAAACAAAATCTTAGAACTCTCCATCCAAGAGTTTCTAGTTTAAAGGTATCGAGAATCTTAAAACGAATCCGTGGAGCAAACGAAACACAAGAGTTCCAAGGAAAAGGCATTAACGGGCTGCTCGAAATTGGCGAGCTCGTTGCACCATTTTCGATAAGATCTGTACCATTAATCTGGCGAAGATCGGTGAGATTACGCCGATGGTTCCAACCATGCTTCTAGGAAAATTTAAAACGTAGGTTTATAGGTAACTTCGCCCTCGTACTGTCCTCTGACGTCTCGATAAGCAGAAAATGTAATGGCAACTAAAATTGGGAAATAACCGGTTCATAGGAAAAATTGGGAAACATTATTTGTAACGAGAAAATAATATAATATTCAGTTTAATAGTACCGTGTAATATCCTACGAATTGATAGTAAAAAATAATCTAAACTGCACTGGAGTAGTTGAGTTTAGATGCATTTTGTTCCTACGACACTGAAAGCAATGTACTGAAATTTACGGTGAATTGTTGTGGTGCAGTTGTTCTCTCGATTCGTTTCAAATCCGTTGTCTCACAAGCTTCTAGGCAACGATTACCAAACATGCTGCTGCACGAAATTGGGTGGCTGTTCCATTGTAATTGGGAGATTAATCCTGTCAGTGACGATTCTATTTTCCGTGGAACAACACCGCATCGCACTACCTCATGGCACGCCATCTTGGTTGGAATCGGTAAACCAGCGCCGCGGTGCGGCATGCTAAGGAATAAAGTGGAAAGAAGACGACAAATAATGAAGTCGCGTGGCTTTTCTTTCGTCCAATTAATACAGTCGTGTTCAACGCGCATAGACTCGTGCTGGGTGGGGGTTTAAAATGGAACGGCCGATGAAATGGACTTGTCGGTAAAACGACGACAAAACAGACGTGTCTTTATTCTTCGGGTCGCTTCAACTCTTGGCAAATCTCCTGCTCTACAGGACTTCTCCATTGTACCTCTTAAAGTCCGGAGAATGACGCTCCAGTCCGGTCTATCCAGTGCCTCTTCCAGAAACAGCTTTTGTGGCGGAAGTGTATAATCTAAAGAGGTAACGAGCGTAGAACTACAATAAACTTATTGTGCGTTATTTCTGAGATGAGTGAAAAAATTTATGTGCAGATTTCGCGATATTGTCTGATTATTAAATATAGAAATTTCGTATATTTTCCATGATTGTCAGAAACGTGAGATTTTGTTTCTTTATTTTTCAAGTAAATGAATCCTTTTCTAAGAGATTGTATGGCTTCATTATAATTTCATTATAATTTCATGCTTAATTTTGTGCAATTTAATTTACGAACGTTTATTTTTCAGAAAATCACATTTCACAGAATATACCAGTTTTATCAACCTAATTTGTAAGTTGAATTTATTACAAAGGTTATTACATGGATTTATCTCAATTAAATATAAATTAAAAAATTGAATACTTCATTTTATTTTTGCAGGATACGGAAGCGTGGAGCCCGGAGTAAGTACTCTATTTGCTCAGTAGCAATAACAGTACTAGATGAACGTATTAATATATTAAATAAATCATGAAATATATCATATTTATACATTTATACAGTGCAAATGTTACTTTGAAACTGGTTGGACATTATGTTGCATATTATATAACATTCGTTGCATAATAACCGTGCGTTTTATCGCTGTCATTCATATGAAAATTATTTGTTGCAGAATATTGTGCTTTCACAGAGGTGTATCCGTTTCGGAGAAAATGAAACCTCCTTTGTACCAATTAATCTATTAATTATTTTCGCTTTATTGCTCGTCACGCAGATACACGTTGCATTTCGAAGAATCGAACAGCAACTATTTACGAACGTAAATAGGAAATATTAAAAATTATTTACTCCCCTGTATCGGTCGTAATGAGTCGTGTTTTGTGATATAATTGTCGGAAATGAAAGAAATTTGAGAGGTTAGCGTAATAACACTGGGAGATAAAATTACGCTTTGTCGGAATAGAGAACTCCCCATGAAGGGCACACATAACCCCACTTATGCAATTTCGTTGCAACATATTTCATCTTGGGACACGTAACCGCGACTGCGTTAATTACGAAAACTTTCATTTCAAAAACAAACGCATGGAAATTTCTACGCGGTCGCGGAATAAAAATGTGGCTCAGTTCGTTCTGTTTGTCTTCCAACATGGTAAACTTGAATTCGACAGAAGACCGCTATAATCTTTAATTGCAAACTCAATATCGCATCATGTAACGTTTGTTCAAATGTTAGAATTTAATTGATCGTCGTTCGCGGTAAAGATTACTTACAATGTAAGGTTAGGTTATGTAGAGCGTAGTAACGTATCATTCGAAGTGCTATACGAAAACGATAACACGGTAAGGAGTTCAATCTTCGGAAACGGATAAAGGCCATGAGAAAATTCCCGATGAAACAACCTGTCGAACGGTCGCTTATACCGAAGTTCACTTTAGACCGAATATATCGAATGGAAAGACACTTCTAAAGAAGACTCCTTCTCTGCAAACATGTCGAGTTATGATAATTTTTACTCTCGATCCGAGCGAACGAACGAAAGCCAGGGGGTTCGGAGACCAAACCTTGGCTGGAGGAGAAAACTCATTTTTCATCGAATCACTCGAGGTTATTTGTTACCTCGGGACAAGTACCAGTGGTCCCATAGCGAAAACGCGACGAACCTCATCGACACAAGGGATTTCGTGATTCGAGAAACAGACGCACTTAACGCTGGCAAAAATATTTCTGTGGAAATAAAGCGAGTTGAATAGATTTACAGGGACCGCTTTGATGTTCCTTTGCCGGGACGTGGCATTTTGTCGTAGCAGGCGAACCAACGCAAGCCACTTGCCCGGAGAGGCAATTCGTATACGTAAATATATACATCTTATTCATTCCCGTTGGAATGAAATTGAATACGTACTTTCGCTCGCGTCTCTTTCATTTCGTCTTTTCTCTCTTTCGACCCTCCCCTGCCTTTTGATCCTCCATCTTCGCCGTTCTCTTCTTCCTTTCTTTTATTCCTTTTCATCCCATGTCCTTTCTCTTTCGCTTCGTTCCCCCACCCCAGTTCCACACCGACTCCCCTCCACTTGTCTCAGTGCAGCCGTTACGCGGGCAGGCAGGCAACCAGCCAGCCAGTCAGTCCGTGGAACTTCGTTTCGTAGAACAGACGTTCCTCCAATTATTATTATGAAGGCACAGTTTCAGCCACCACGTCCAATTATATCTCGTGAAACTAATCTGTAAGTTTCTTTGTTAAATTTCGCGCTCGCAACTGGTAACAGGATTTTAAAAGCATAACTCGCCGCGCCTCCTACTATGTAGTCACGCGAACCAAGTTTCTGATGGAACAGGGGTGCTGCGAAACGGGCCGGGTTATTGCTCCTTCGTTACGTTGATGGGAATATTAGGGACTGCCATCTTCCGCGATTAATATATACACGGTTACGCGATTGTACTTAACGAGCGACATTCATCATCCGTTATGAGACCTGAGATCCGTGCGATGTGCTTTCATACACACGCTGCAAATATGGATTACAAAAATACATTTTATTCCCTCACGTTAGGTAATGGCCCGTTAGGTTAGGAAAAATAGCGGATCCGTAGTTTCTTGTTATTCTTATATAATCACGCTCTACAGTACATCGCACTTTTATCTTAATCATACCCGGCTATATTATTTTATTCTCCCACGAGAATTTCGACCAGTTTGTTTTAATCTTTTTCACCTGGAGTTTTTTTCCGATAACGGTCGTTCGGGAGTTTAAATTTTTTCTAGACTCGGACGATGCTCGTGAAATACAACGATTTGATCGTGTTGAAAGTATTATATTAGACTTGATATTTAATACAATCGTTAAATCGGTTATCTAATAATCGTGACAGTCGAAGTTCAAGAAGCCGATGAGGTTTTCATCGAAGATATCGGAACTCATTATCAAGATGGGATAGTGGGTATTGCATTTTTGCAGGTAGCCATATTCGATAAGCGAGGCTCGGTGTAACGCGTTACATAACAAGAAACATGCGAGAGATACGTGTTCCTTGGCTCTGTGCGAAGGCAAGTAGATGTTCTCCGGCAAACTTTCACCAGAATAGCATTCTCTTGTGTATAGGCGTCTTGCACGATTCTCACGGATATTTGCCGTACAGTCTGCTCGACTGCAACCATATTTATACATTCGATACTTTGAATACCGATGTATCCGCGAAATACGTGTCCGTATAACTTTTTACCATAAATTGTCGAACAAGATACCCAATGTTTTTGGATTGACTTAATTTTATTTTTCCATTACCTTATCCCTCTCTCTATTCCCTATATCTCTTCTTATGACATCGAACCCGGTCTTAAATAATATAGGATAAATATTCATATGTATCAATAAATTAAATTAAACGAATAATAGAAGCTTTTAGCTTTTCGTAAGAATTGGAATCTTTTTTAATTTTTTTCCTCATTGATCATTGTGTAAGGTAATATATATTTATGTTTGGAAACTATTTTAACACAACTTACGATTAGGTTCGTACGGTGTATTTTATATATAACTTTCTATATAAATTCTATCGTTTAGTTCGTAAAAACGTGAAGGGGGGAGGCGAGTAGTGGGAGTACAATGCCAGACGTCGCGTGCAGATTAAACTAACCTAACTAATAACGTTGACACCGACGAACTTGGAATTAAAACCTGACGACGCCCGCCCGTCTAGAATTACAGAGATAGTATCCCGGTGATTCCTGGTGCTTTTCAATCTCGCAGTTTCACATAAACGTCGCATACCTTTCGACTAGGACTCTTGTTGGACGCTTCCTTGACTCGTGACGTAAACCCGAGCTATTTCGGAGCTTGATAAAAATTAGATAAAATTGTAAAATTAAAACGACTAACTTTTCCGAAAAATTAGACAATGCTTTCGAACCAATGTTAGTTGGAACACGTTTAAAACATCAATCCTCCTTTTTAAACGAAATGTATAATTAATACGAAAGGTGAGATATGATAAGTGAGGGAAAAGGGTCGATAAAACAGTGTACCTACTTCCTCGTTCTATGCAAACTTTTTCTCCAATTCGGCCGGTAGTATGAGCAATACCGTTGACCGTGCACGGCAAGAACGGCATTCAAATTAACTCGTTAAATCCTACTGTTATTATACGGTTACATTCGTAGTAAGGTATTCGAAGTAAAGAGGAAAAGAGAGGATGAAGGAACTTCCGTTTGTAAATGATGTCTTCCTTTCCCGCAGAGTGGGGCACTCTCACGAGAAAATTACTCCGCCTTTTACCAGCTCGCATTACGATACGAAATTATTTTTCGATATGGCGTGGAAGTAAAATTCCAAGGTCGTTAGGCAAGTCTCTTGCTATTGAATTTTACAAATTTCTTTTTCGCCATATCTATGTGGATTGTCTTTGAGGTTAGGTTATTGATTTTCAGTTTCAAATTCGAGTTATATATAGTAATAATTTATTTGTTATATTTACAGTACAATCGTCCTTAATTGAACACCACAGATTTGTTTCTTTTTGACAAGTAATATACAATTGCGAATTTGGTATGTAATATAAATATTATATAAAAGTAATTCCGTGATATAATTTTCTCTTTAATTAAATTTCTTCGTCGCAAATAGCTTTCTCTGATTTTTGCACAATATTAATGTTGGAAATACAAGTATGTAGAGTAAATTACTGTTAATTAAACACCGGGAATATTCTCTTTGACACGTTTGCGTGTATCTACAACTGTGAACTTAGTATAAATATTATATCTCCATGATATACTTTTTACCTCAATTAAATGTATACATTTCTTTATTTCTAGAGCAAGCTTTAAGTAGCTTGTTCTCATCTACAATTTACTTCTCGTCCAAAGAAAAACATTTCTAACCTATCTTCCCATACATGGTTAATATTAAATAGCAATTTATTAGTACAAATACGATAATATATTGCTGCAGACTTTTGTCGCGTGATCACGTCGGCAATTGAAGGTTAGGTTACGTTAACCGTTTCGGTAATCTTAAGAGGACTCTCTAACTCACTAGCGCCACCACGATCCCAATCCCCAATAAACGTAATCGTTGAATTATTTTCTAACTTTACCGATATAAAGTTGTCGCTCCTAATCCTAACCTAACATTCGAACACAGGTTCTAGGTAGGTAAGATGGACGTTTTGATTCCACGCAAATACCATCTCCCCATTTCACCATAGTTAGCGCTCGTTCAGATCGGAATGCTTCGCAAGCGCGTGATATCTGCCGAAGTAGACGAAGAAGAGGGCTGCCGCGATGAGAAAGAAGAAAAGTAGTCGGAAGATCTTTACGAGGCTGATATTGCTCTCGTTCACGCAATACTTCTTGGCGGCAGCCGCCGCGCACAGTACGTAACTCTCGATGTCGATTTCCGTGGCAACCGGAAATGCATCTTGGTCTTCTGGGGTGAGACGTTGCTGGAGCAGGTACACGCGATTTCTCTCTACTGACCACGGCCTCGATGAAATTGACTCAAGGGATCGAAGTGCATTACGAACTCTGTGGTACTCCTCGAGCAGCCTGTGGAGAAGCGAAGGTTTTACCTCGGCGACTGATCTTTTTTCCCTCCTTCTCCTCGCCATTTCTCCCAACCCTAATGCCACCTGCCGTCTTTCCACCTTCTGTTACTCCCGACTCCAACGATTCGCATCTGTTTCTCTAGAGAGCGGATTGCCCTTTCGACGTGATTTTTCTTACAACACTATGCACACCTTCGACCTCATCTCGTAATCGACCACTTCGTTCGATCCACCTCGCCAATGTTTATCTTTCGAGACACCAAGGGTGGTCTCGAGAACGATGGTCAAGTTAGAACAGCTTTGCTAGTTAGAGTTTCTGCTAAATTTCTCCCATATCTACTAATTGCGAGTGCAAGTGCTGACTGTAATTACCAAAATTCGTTAAAAAGAATACTTTTTCGTTTCGGTTATGATGTCCAGGTGGTTCTCAATAGAAAGATGAAATTATATATTTTCATTTCTCACTTTCACTCTTTTTTGTAGTATTTGTTAGGTCTAGAATCTAATTCCGGAATACCTAGAATTAAGCGTACGAAAAATATTAAAAATAAAATTTGTTTGGTACCAAAAGCAGGCAAACAATGTAGCAAATACTTGTCTCTCTTGTTATTACACCATTTGGAGCCATAACACGTCGCATAAAACCGTTCTTTGTCCGTTTTTAACCCATTTCTCTCGTCCAAGGATTCGTGGGCGAGAAATTCGTGTCCCGTGAAATTTGTCTTGGCTTTCACTGTGTGTCCTGTACACACGTAGGTTATAATTAGTCAAAAGTATTGTTCGGCTGTTTAATCGATTAACGCAATTAGACGCAGCAGCGTGCCGTAATTTCCTCCGACTGATAAACGGCTGCAGACGTCGGGCTCACGACACCGCGTGCAACACGTACCTCAGCATGCACATGTATGCAGATCGATGGGACCCACTCGATTTCGCTTTCGACCCTCCCGTGTAATTGCAAAAATTTCTCCTCGGTCACATTTCACTTTGCCCACTGATGAAGACACGTCCGTTCCGCTGTGCCCCGGTCAATTTATAATTTTCCTAATTACACAGGGTGTCCCTGTAAAACACGTATAAGCGGAGGTCAGGTGATCCCTAGATTTTGAATAGACACCTTACTTTCTGAGAAAATCGAATTTCGATATTCGTTTTGTACTCCTTGAAATTAACCGAGCATAATTGTATGTACAGGGATGGCAGTCTTAATGGTTCCTCGAAATAATAAAATATTTCGAATTGGTGTATCCTTACTGGATTTTGAAATTTGATTTTCTCAAAAATAAAGCTCTGAACGAGAAAACGTTATCTTTTTCTGTATCTTTTTCCTATCTTTCCACGAGGAACCACCTGATGTCTGGTTGTACACATTTTTCGGGGACACCCTGTATACAAATATATAAAAGGACACATCATACTGGGTTCAATGAGCTTGAGATATATTGTCCAAGTCATCACTTTTATTAAAACGGTGAATTCGATAATCGGTTACGATATGTTGTTAAGATCAGATTTTCTTGTTATGGAATGTTCTAGATTCTTCTTTACAGGCACTAATTGCGATTTTTGCACTAATTCGTCTTTGCTAGGTCTTTTTGTGAGAAGAATAAGCTTTAATAGTTCAGAATGTATTTATCAAAATTTTCTAGACAAACTCAATTTTCTCTATCTATCTAATCATATCACAGACCAGTAGTGACGAATAGTGCTAACGCAAGTAGTATAAGTCAACTATAACATCGGCATAGCATACTAATGATACATAGTACCGAAACGAATTGTAGCAAAGCTAATTCGAACATAACCTAAACTTTACTCAAACTTGTTTCGGGCATCAAACGAAGTACAGAGAAAAGCTAGCCTAGATATTAACCTCACCATATTTCAAACACAGTGGAATTCCTGAGGTGTGCCCATTTGTATATACTTATTATAATTTCGCGCAAAGAAATATTTGCCCTAAATTCGGTCTGTTTTGTGTGTCACGTTACAGATTTTTTCCCTTTTTTCTTTCATTAAATATATATCAGGAATCGGAATATCCGTTCTATTAATTAATTTATTCACGTAAGTACCCTTTACACCGCTTGCTTTGTTGTGACAAGGTTTCTTTCCTCGTCGAGATTTCTTTCAAGCTTTTATGAAGTCTGCTAGCCATACCTTCTTTAATATTCTTTCATTTTGTGGTTCCAATAACGGTTGTAATGAAGCTGTTTTATGTCCCCTTAGCTTATCCCGAAGGTTAGTATCGTACTAAAATGATAATATAAAATTGGGGATTGTTTGTCGAGAACTTAATAAAAGTTTCTCAAAGAAGAATATTCAAAAAAGAGAAGTAATTCAAGAAATACATATATAATAAACAAAATTCCGGTTATTCACAGTAAATCGGAATGAATAAAATAAAATCGTGCAAGCATGTCGACCCATTTATATTAGTATTACGTTACAAGAACTTTCGGATACACCCTGAATGCTAAAATAAATCTATTACGCGCATCACAGGCAAAATTCTAAATCATTCTAAGTCATCGTCAAAATTAAAGCTATATCTTTTCAATATCTTTAACCAAAGAATAAGGTCATGCACGGTCGCCCAGTTTCCGCAGTGCCTCCGCTGTTGACTAGGCGAAGAATAGCCGGGGTAAGGAAGTTCGAATCACGTTGGTCCGGCAAAGAAACGCATTTCAATGAAAGCTGTCAAGATTTCCCGAAAGTTTCCTCGTTGCCGTAGCGAACTCACGATTTTTAAAAGCAATCAGGGAACGAGTCCGCAAGTTTCCCACGGGGAAAACGAGTTTCCTTTCGACTGTTTCCCTTTTTGCTTTCTTTTCCCCACCGCCATTTTCACCCCCCACCCCCCACTGCTTTCTCTGTCCCGTCGAGGAAAACCTGTTTACTTTGGGTATTCACCTAAATCGTACTTTGGGATAACTTTTACTTTTACGATTGCATCGCGTTTGCCAAGTATGCCTGTGGACCGTTTCCCAGCATCGACCCTTACAAGCGAGTGCCAACCCCTGAGCCACGGCGCGCCATGCTCCGAGCACTGTGATCAAACTTTCCTGAAAATCTTCTCCGATGCTTCTCTCTGCGCCGGAACTTCCACCAAGGATTTACCCCCTTTCCTGTGCTGTCCCCTTTTGGATAACTCAATTCTCGAATTCTCTCGAATCCTTCTTTCGCTATAGAATAGGCCGATTTACGGAGTGTCGATGAAAATTAGTTTGAATTCGCCGACTGGCTGAATCCTCCAGTACACGTCGGTATACACGATAGGGTACGATCAGAGGTTGATTCCCATGTTTCGTACTTATCCGAGTAGAAATGATTAGGTGATTGAGTTCAGGTTTTGAAACTGTGGACCTTGCACTTGTCATATCAGTAGGAACTTCGTGAGTTAATGTGAAAAGTTTATTGTAACTGCAGAGTGAAAGTTCTCCAGTTGGATTCGAAGTGAGAATTCAATTGGGCACCATGCTTTCAAAAGTTTGAGAACCACTGGCTTAGTAGTCCTTGGGACACATTCTGGACTCGACCTTGCTCGAGTATAGTAATCTTTAGAACACAGTCAGCACTCGACCTTGGCTGAGTATAAGCATTTAAATCACAGGAAGCGCTCGATATTAGCTGTCTGTAGCTACTGTTAATATATAATGAATGCTCGATATTGAATGACTGTAAAGAGGAGGTTAGGTTCGTTCAACAGAGACATGTCTCAGAGCCCATTCGAATACAGAACTCGGATCAATGTTGGAGATATTGTAAATTTCCAGTTCGTTATACCTTTTCTTTGCCCCCACCAGGCCGAGGATCGTGTCACAGAGTGCAGATGGCAACCATTCAAAAAGCAGCACCAGAGTCCAATGCACCGCTGGCATGGACGTCATTCCACGCAGGCCGAAAGTCGGATATGTAAACTTTCGGTTGCCTCGTCGACCATTCTTGATCAGGTCACTCCACGTGCATTTTATCGGGGCCGCGTTATATACCATCGCCACGTCCGTGTTTTTCCTGTAACAAATCAAAGGGAAGATTATTGTTGAAGAGATAAGCTTAGTTATATACAAAAATCAATCTCGGATATAAGGTGTGAATAAATAGTTTATAAGACCTAGATTCCGAGAACGAATGTTTATATAAACATTAGATAAGGATTTAGAATTTAGCCGAACTTTCAGGTGAACTGTGTCACGTACCCTCTTGACAAGGAAAACATTCAAAGATAGATATACCTTCCTTGAGTAACAAAGGAATTTAAAAAAGAATATATACATCATAGTTATTTTACAATTATAAACTCATAATCCCAATAATTATCAATCGCAGTAATTATCAATCGATAGTTTCTCTACTCTCGCAATAGCAGCTATCTTGAAATAAAAACATTCAAAGCCAGATGACTGTAGACTTAAGTCACCTATGTTGACACCTTCGTGTACAATATTGAAATATGTAGTAAGGAAATCGGGCGAAACGAAAAGGCGTTGTTTGGAAACAGGTTCCAATGTAAACATAGCTCAGCACGTGGTTAATTTCCATCGATGTCTTTCTGAAACTATCCTACATAGATTTTCCAAGAATATTGACTATACGTGTGGCAAAGATGCACAGCGTCCTTGCCAAGAGCCCCAGTCATTTGACACTTGATACAACTGAATACAAGCAAGTAAATAGATGAAACATGGATGAAGTTGATCCGAGCTTCATCACAACCCGTTACTCATCAAAAGCTAGACCAATACCGGCGTTCAATCCCAAAATCGTTCGACGTCTTCATAACTTACGAAGTTCAAAGTATCCTCCTTGGCAAGATTAAAGGAAATAACTTCGCCAGTGCCGTCATAAACCTGGCACACCGGTCTATCTGGTACGTAGGTACTCCAAACTTTACAACCTTGACCACTAAGCCTGTTTCGCTTGTATTTTATAGAAATTCTACCCGATCACCGTTTCTAAAGAAGAACCTTGCCTTTTACTGTTTCCTCTTGCCCATCCTCTAACTACTTAACTCAGCATCCACGCTCAGGCTCCAAGTAGAATATTCTGTATGAGAATACCGTTCCCTAGTTTTACAGGTCAGTTCTATCGACTCGACGTTGATTTTTATAGCGCCTTCGGGAGCAAAGGTCGCGTTCGGTGCAACGATCAAACGCGAAGGATTTCTATATAATATACACACGGGCAGATTTCTCGCTTGAATCAGCATGGACGTTTCACGGACGCTAGCTGCAGCTTGCACGAAACGAGCAGCTGGATCTCGACTTATTTAAAGTAAACGTAATCGACTTATTCGCGCTTCGTTTCGCGGTTGAAACGGGACGGAGGAAGAACATGGAGTTAAGTTGGCACGAAACGTGCTGATGTCACGTGGTGCTCTGTACAACACGCTACACGTGTTTGGTCCTTTGGCCCTGTCGTGCGAGTAAATGAAAGACGATTGCTTAATCGTTTCGTTAAAGCATCTTCGAAAATGGAGAAATTCGTAAGACATAGATGAGAAAGAATTTTGTATTAAATGTTAGATGACTGTTTAGTCATCTATTCGTATTTATCTATGTATATTAGATAAACTCCAAACCGGCTAACTTTCCCTTTTATCCCTTACTTATTCTTATCACTCACTACAACCCCGACCTTTCCTGCATCATCCTATCTTAGCCTTCGATCTGTAGACAACCCCCACTTACTTCCTAATTCACATATAAATATTGCCAATAATCCCAAAATCACAATTCTTATGCTAGTAGTCGGTTTAGAGTGTCACTGTAAAAGATCTCACCGTAAAAGATTAAATTAACAAATTTAAATAAAATTTAAGTTCTTCTCAGGTCATCGTTTTCGGTATAAAATATGATATAAAATCTGTTCTCTTTAATCTTTCTTACAAATCCACCATTCACGAGGAAAAATAGGAGAGACAAATAGCGCGAGCGCCACCTATACGGTTACGGTTCCGTAGCAAAAGAGTTTAAGGCTATTCACAAAAGCGGACGCCATTATAGCGCAGTATGCATGAGACAAATTTGAAAAGTTAATCCGCATATTAAATCATTCTTGCCATATTCTATGTCCCTCCGCCGTCATTCTCTACCTTTAGAAAATAAACCGCTCGAACTCGAATGAAGTAAAATAGTGAAATAATGAAGTAAAAATTCCCTGATTATACTTCCACTTTATCGAACAAAGAGAAGCGAAGTACCTATTTAGAACGCTTCACCGCGAAGCATGCATATGCATTTTCCCTTTTTTCAAACGTAAAATGAGAAAATCATTGACTGGACATTTAAGGTTAACCGCCAGCCCATTTGTATTTCCTCCAGCTGACCAAATAATCCTCGATTAAAGTCGGAATCGATAGTAGGATCATATTTCTCTATTGCATGTGGAATAACAAAGGAACACCTGTAAATACACTTTATCATCCTTTGTTCACAAAATCGTGGTGGGCAACTAATCTGCAAAAACGCGCGTCCGTTCCAATGCGTAATTTCTGGCGGAACGATAACCGAAGCTATTCGAAACGGTAAACCGCCTTAATGCGACCTTCCGCTAGCATTGCTCGATGCCCGAATGTTAGCCACGTAAACTGTTGCCTTTTCCCGGCCCTCTCAAAAGAGATTTGAACACTCTCGTGGAAACCGCGTTCATTTCGCGTAAACTTTAATCGCTACATTTTATGGCTCTAACAGGGGAAAAGGCAACAATCTACGGGTATACAGACTCGTGGTTTAGACGTATCACCTTCGACACAGAGCTCGATTGTTTCTTTTCTTATTACTCTTCTTTACTGAATACGATACCCCGCTTTATTCTTCGACATGGCTAATTTCAATTTCACGCTTCTGTTTTATAATCCCTTTCGTAAGGACAGGTATGCGATTGTCTCTTGCCTTGAGTTAAAGAAGGTCAAGATTTAAGGTGAATGCTTGAAAATGTCTAAGATGTGTTTCATAAATTGTGTTGACCATCTAAGCAGTTAGTAATGCTATTAGCACAGTGCCATCTTCCACTAACTATTCCGTGAGGCCATACGGGTTAAGGTTAAATCACAGTACTGCATTTACTGTAAATGTTTATAAGCTATGATTTATGGCGTTTAGAAGATAATAACAATTAGAAAGAATAAGTAGTATATACTCTGTGTAATATTTATGTCTCAGTTAATGATGTTATAGAATACTTTATGATAGTAATTCTTCTCATACGACATTATGATCCTGAACCTAAAGTTCAGTGTGAGAAATTGATGGCTTCTATGACATTAGACGTGCTAAAAACGAGGTTAGCATCACCCCAATATACCTGATAGGCGTGACATCAATAAGGCCTTTGCGACAAGATCTGTGGTGTGAGGTTAGTCATCGTGTGAAAAGGAACGATGATATTTCATTTAAAAAAAAACATACAACTTGAAATTCTGAAAGAATAGAGATATGAAAAATTCAAACTCCTAAGAGTCCAATATCATTTCGACAACCTAGCAAAACGCTTTTACACCTTACCTATTATTCCATACTCTCACCTTTTAATAATTCACCTTCATTTCCGTTTCGATTTACGTAAGGTCCAGTTACGCGCATACCGCACAATAGTGTTAATTAGCTTTCCCCGTTTCTTCAACAGCCGACCATAACGAAGCGAGGAAATTAGCTCGCAATTAGCAATTATTACGTGGACGTAATATAAAGAAACAACAGTTTTCCAGAACGGTTAGCCACGCGGAATAGGACACCTGGGAGGGTGCAGAATCAACGAGTGATCCTTATTGGCTCGTGAGACACATCACTTTCGTTATCCGATATCCCAGTCGCGTGTAATTAACCGTAACTTTACTGCCCGTAAAGCTACTCCATGGCCAGTCCATATACTACTAAACAGAACGTTGAACGTTTACGCGTATCCAATAAGAGGGAGTGATAAAAATCCGTATTCCTATAAATCGATACTTAACCTCTCCCTAATCTCGTACAAATAACACCATGGTTACAACAGTCGATCGTATATCGTGTTCGTTTTATTTACGTGACTGTAAGAACATTGAATCGAATTATATTCTTTTAAAGGAGAAATTAGATTCGATAGGAAGGAAGAGAAGCAGGAAGAGGGTACTTACGTAGCAGCTCGTTCCCAAGCAACGGCGATCATGGTGTTGACCGTCAGGTCGATCGGAATGATTTCCGCTTGAAACTTTGAGTTACCAAGTGCAAGACCTGCTCCTACCATCAGAGCTGTCGATCCTTTGAGAACGTCCACGAAACCAGGCATAGGCTCGCGAAGTGCCGGTCCGACAAACGGAGCCCGCACTAAAGCCACAGGTCCATTGGCTGCGTGCTCTCTGTCCACCGACTCCGTGATTGGTCCGTCGTGTTCGAAGATGCACGACAGCGCCACCACGGCCTCCAGGCGCGGCAGCTGCCGGCAGAAGCGAAGCACTTCGTCACATGGGCCGGCTGCGTGTAACACCACGCTCACGTTTTGTAACAGTTGGTTGTCCGGTTTCGTCGTGCCCAGTCCATCGTACAATAAATTACCCTCCAACGCCTTCACTCGAGAAATCGCATTTGGATCCTCTTGTCTCAGTCTCTCAAATCTGTAACAGACAAATGGAAAACTCGTTGTTTGTCCAATTGAATCATGGCCAGGCTTAACTGGACAATCTAATTCGAAAACGTCAAGAATTATGAAGATTTCGCTTCATCTGTGTCTTATAGCAAGCAATCCGAAGTTGTTTCAAACTTCAACGATACCTGTTCTATAGTGGGATAGATGGAGCTATTTCTTAGTTAGTAGTTTCATTAACACTTGTACAATTGCGGACAAGTTGCTTTCAGTGTTGAGAGTTATATCGTATTTTAGGTTATGATTCAAGAATTGTATAAATACTTTACTGTTTGATTACGAATTATCTGTTACAAGGAGTGCATTGGAACCTCTGTGGTCGTGATTTCGTTTATGATTCTTTCGATAGAGGCGTCAAAAGCGAAAATCGTCATCTGTGCAATTATCTCGTAGAAAAAATAAAAGAAAATTGCAAAAACAGGAAATTTCAATGTTTTATTATCGAATGAAAGTCGATAATAATTTTTACAATGTAAGTCAAATTAAAAAAATTTTTAATTGCAAGCATCTTCAACTATTGATATCCTCATCACTTAGTAGGTTAGAGTGTCGCTCTGATATGTAAATAATGTGTCTAATGACTAAGATGTAATAGATATTTTAAATTTTTTTCCTATTGCACAGGAAGAAGCTTGGAATTGAACCTCTAAATATACGGGGACTACACTACATAATTTTCCACCGAGTCGAAAATTGTCTATAAAAGGACTCAGACATGGAACCATAACATCTTTATCGTTTCCCTTTTGTTCATTTCGACAGAAGTCTACCAGTCTGTTTTAAAACGCTTTCCTATCCTTAATAGCAACATACAACTTGAAATTCTGAAAGAATGGAGATATGAAAAATTCAAACTCCTAAGAGTCCAATATCATTTCGACAACCTAGCAAGACGCTTTTACACCTTACCTATTATTCCATACTCTCACCTTTTAATAATTCACCTTCATTTCCGTTTCGATTTACGTAAGGTCCAGTTACGCGCATACCGCACAATAGTGTTAATTAGCTTTCCCCGTTTCTTCAACAGCCGACCATAACGAAGCGAGGAAATTAGCTCGCAATTAGCAATTATTACGTGGACGTAATATAAAGAAACAACAGTTTTCCAGAACGGTTAGCCACGCGGAATAGGACACCTGGGAGGGTGCAGAATCAACGAGTGATCCTTATTGGCTCGTGAGACACATCACTTTCGTTATCCGATATCCCAGTCGCGTGTAATTAACCGTAACTTTACTGCCCGTAAAGCTACTCCATGGCCAGTCCATATACTACTAAACAGAACGTTGAACGTTTACGCGTATCCAATAAGAGGGAGTGATAAAAATCCGTATTCCTATAAATCGATACTTAACCTCTCCCTAATCTCGTACAAATAACACCATGGTTACAACAGTCGATCGTATATCGTGTTCGTTTTATTTACGTGACTGTAAGAACATTGAATCGAATTATATTCTTTTAAAGGAGAAATTAGATTCGATAGGAAGGAAGAGAAGCAGGAAGAGGGTACTTACGTAGCAGCTCGTTCCCAAGCAACGGCGATCATGGTGTTGACCGTCAGGTCGATCGGAATGATTTCCGCTTGAAACTTTGAGTTACCAAGTGCAAGACCTGCTCCTACCATCAGAGCTGTCGATCCTTTGAGAACGTCCACGAAACCAGGCATAGGCTCGCGAAGTGCCGGTCCGACAAACGGAGCCCGCACTAAAGCCACAGGTCCATTGGCTGCGTGCTCTCTGTCCACCGACTCCGTGATTGGTCCGTCGTGTTCGAAGATGCACGACAGCGCCACCACGGCCTCCAGGCGCGGCAGCTGCCGGCAGAAGCGAAGCACTTCGTCACATGGGCCGGCTGCGTGTAACACCACGCTCACGTTTTGTAACAGTTGGTTGTCCGGTTTCGTCGTGCCCAGTCCATCGTACAATAAATTACCCTCCAACGCCTTCACTCGAGAAATCGCATTTGGATCCTCTTGTCTCAGTCTCTCAAATCTGTAACAGACAAATGGAAAACTCGTTGTTTGTCCAATTGAATCATGGCCAGGCTTAACTGGACAATCTAATTCGAAAACGTCAAGAATTATGAAGATTTCGCTTCATCTGTGTCTTATAGCAAGCAATCCGAAGTTGTTTCAAACTTCAACGATACCTGTTCTATAGTGGGATAGATGGAGCTATTTCTTAGTTAGTAGTTTCATTAACACTTGTACAATTGCGGACAAGTTGCTTTCAGTGTTGAGAGTTATATCGTATTTTAGGTTATGATTCAAGAATTGTATAAATACTTTACTGTTTGATTACGAATTATCTGTTACAAGGAGTGCATTGGAACCTCTGTGGTCGTGATTTCGTTTATGATTCTTTCGATAGAGGCGTCAAAAGCGAAAATCGTCATCTGTGCAATTATCTCGTAGAAAAAATAAAAGAAAATTGCAAAAACAGGAAATTTCAATGTTTTATTATCGAATGAAAGTCGATAATAATTTTTACAATGTAAGTCAAATTAAAAAAATTTTTAATTGCAAGCATCTTCAACTATTGATATCCTCATCACTTAGTAGGTTAGAGTGTCGCTCTGATATGTAAATAATGTGTCTAATGACTAAGATGTAATAGATATTTTAAATTTTTTTCCTATTGCACAGGAAGAAGCTTGGAATTGAACCTCTAAATATACGGGGACTACACTACATAATTTTCCACCGAGTCGAAAATTGTCTATAAAAGGACTCAGACATGGAACCATAACATCTTTATCGTTTCCCTTTTGTTCATTTCGACAGAAGTCTACCAGTCTGTTTTAAAACGCTTTCCTATCCTTAATAGCAGCCTTATGTTCACCATGTATCGTACTTTCGATGTATATACCGTGACCAATTGTGTGCAGTCGGTGTTTATAATAGCAGTAGTTAGGAGCATCGCAGACAGTACCATGCCCCCAACTACGAAGATTCCTATTATTGCACGACTATACACACCATAACCAGTCTGCTATTATGTCAGGGGTTTATCGTCAACGATTCCTTGTTATATACTGGGAGGCACCTAACCTAAATAGATTCGCCTCCGATCACATTCTGGACTTTTGCCCTATTTTTCCTGTTCTACTTATGATACTTTTCAATGTATCACTATATTCATACACATATACTACATCGTTATATACTATATTAGTTAAGAATCTTTTTCATTTATAAAATTTTTACTAAATTTTTGTTGTAGGTGGTAGAGATGACAAAAAGTTAGGTTAAAATTTAGTTGAAATTTTAGACAAAGTTTTTCTACTAAGATGTTGGGAATTAGTATTGATTACTTGTAACGATAATTTAAAATAAATCCTAGAATTGGTATGCAAGTATACAGTATAGTTAGAAGAGGCAGAACGATTTAAAATTTTTGGTTGATAGTGTACCTCGCAATCATGTGAAAAAATATAGGACAACGACAACGTAGGAATGAAAGTACATTTCTCCAGTAGTGAGTGTAGCTCTCGCCACCTTTCCTTTCGGTAACTGCGGTTGAATATTGCCTCGCATGTTTTACGATACGACCAAGGCTGTTATGGTGCACGATCATGTAACTCCACGATCCGATTTATAAGTTTATGACGCATATTGTACTTTGGTTAAATATGAACGAGAGCCCGATGGATTCTTCAATCAATCGTTAAATGTTTTTGGGAACACGCTTTAACATCGATTTCATTTCTTTAGTACTGTTATTTAATACATATTTCGGAATCGCTAAAAGTGACTATTTCCTGCAGTTTTCTGGCAAGAGAAATATTACAGTAGTTTTGGTATCTATTTTAAAGTGACATTTATTGTTATACATATAAAACATGGGTTTTTGGTCTTTCTGCTCAAATACGTTTAATTATCGAAACTCACTACCACTGATGAAACGTAGCATATTCGTTCAAAATAAAAAAAAATTGTTTTCAAATCTCAATGGTAAATAAATAATTTTATATTGCAAAATAATTTATTTAAAAAGAAATGTGAAAGGATAAATTATTTTTAAAAAATATTATTGACGTATAAAATATTATAATATTAGTATTCATATATTATTTTATTAATAGTAATTTTTACATATTTTATTTAACCCATATACAATTAATTTCAAGAAATTGGTACAAATGTGAATATATTATTACATTATTAATATATTAATATAAGAGTAATCCATAAAAAAATTTTGTTCCTTTTCATTTCTGATTATACCACCATTTTGTTTTTCTCTGACAATACACTTGAGATAACTGAGTAAATTGGCACGAATAGTACAAGCATCCAGTGAATTCGCAATGAAAAGCTAATTCACAGCCGTTGTTCAGTCTAATGAAGCCTTGATTAGAATGGAAGACTACAATATCTAACGAATGCCTGATTAAAGTCAGATGCAACACCTAACGAATATACAGTCTAATATGCAACGAGAGATATGATATTCTATAACGAAGGGTCGAGTAAATGAGCAACGTAGATGAATCAATTCTCTAACCTGACCTTTATATCCGTTTCTATCAAAAACAAAAAATCTTTCAAAAACTGGTTGGTCAGAAATTAGCCAATACAGGCACAAAAATCGGATATCGTGAAAGTAAACAACTCGAGAGATCGAAATTATTATCCGTATTATCTTCTAGTTTTATCGCGTTCACGCGCATTGTGGTTAATTCTCAATTATTAGGTTAGCTTTATCCACATTAATGCGCATTTCCACTTCGTAAATGCAAATGCGTTTCATTCACGGGTAACCTTTGTGTTATTTACGGTTTTATCATGCAAATAACAATCCCGGTAATTTCTGTTTCCCGAACAAAGGTTCACTCGTAGTTGTCGAAAAAGAAAATGGTTTCAATCGCAACGATTCCAGTGTCGATCAATGCAGGGCATAAACTGTACCGTTTGCACGAATTAATCAAACAGGCGCGTTTTCTCTCTGTACCTATTTGCAATAGCAAATTAGAACGTTACCGATATTCCATAACATTATACACAAGCCTTTATACAACAGAAACTACAAATTCATCCACAATGCTAACACGATCTAATATGAAACAGGATTAAACCCCGTACTAGACGATAACGGGACATTTCCGAACACATTTAACACACCGCCGCACTCCACGCAATCACTCTTTATCTTTCCTAACCTACAGAAAACATGACTCGAGTCATGTTTATAATCTAGTAATCGTCGCATCACTGTTCGAGGCAACACAGATCGATTTCAGTCGAACAAGTGCCGAAGAAAGTAAACAATCATACCGAGGGGATAGAAAGATGTTCTTGATTCTATCATCTTTGCTGAATCCGTGCCGAGAGCGAACGATCGTGTACACCTTCGCATCGGGAAACGAGCGGAGAATCTTCTCTAGCAAAGCTCGTCCTACATCACTGGTCACTCCCGTTAGAAGCAGCTCGCGGTCCGCGTACCATTCGCGCAGAGCCATGCTCATTGACTGACCAGTGTGAAAAGAAGGCAACACCGCGCTGCGGCACATTTACTTAACCGGTGCTTATCCCACCGGCTTCTCTGTTCCGTCGTACCATCACATTTTAACCTACAAAGACGTCGTTGTAACACTCCCATCTTTGCTTCGTGTCTGTTTATGTTTTTGGAAGTAGAAGTAATTCGTTTGGAGGTCTATGCCTGGAATCTATGTCGTTTCCATCTTGCTCTGAGGATCAGGTTTCTTTTTTTGAAAATTCCACTCAGTGCCGACGTCACAACGTTGGAAGAGTGCCGATGTTGGGTAAAGGAATCCATTGGCTGCAAAGTGAAAGCGGTGAAATTTGCGAGCATGGAAAATATATTTACGAAGCGGTTTAGTTTCAATTGAATTAAAGGAAGTATATGGTACGTTAAAGGCAACGTTCCATCTAATTGACTCGACTAATTTGATCGTCAATTTGTCGTCTTGATGAGCATTTACGAGCCGCCGACGGGTGGAAACAGCAAATTTATTTATCGGTAAAATTAATGGAGAACGCATCGTCTACTTTCGAAACTCTTTTTTAGAGACGAAACTTTTTTGTCGCTGCGCTAGAAAAGTTGTTTCCCGATAATTTTAAACTCTTCACATTTAATGTAGAAACTTGATGTCGACGGTCGGTGACCATTTGCGACAGTGCGTCTTCTTGACCACAAACATGTTTCGTACAGCAATTTAATTCAATCTCGAGCTCAAGATGTTTGGGTTCCATAGGTTTCCCTTTAACGTGGTATGTCACAGCCGTTATTGCAGTCGGACCAACAACGACAAACCAGGAACGGACGCTCCTTGATCGTGCACAGACGCTTCACAAACGTTGGGACATCTCCATGTAAATGAGACTACTGGTACATTCGCCAAGATTGCTAGCAACATCGAATTCGCGTCAAGTGGTTACGATATCTCGGGAAAAGTTTGGATGTAACGTGTTTATTCACTTACAAATGCTCTAACGCATACGTAATGGCGACTTCGCAAGCGTAACGATATCCTTTTAAATTGTCTCTATCGGTGTTTTCATTTCGTTGAAATGACAATTGTTGCAGGGAGCCTGTTGGAACTTCGTTCATTAGAACCTGTTGGGAAAAGGAATAGTTTGGATAACAAGTTACCTCGGATAATAGGGTTTCATAGACTCTCCATTCTGCAAACAATTTCTCCGTTGAACGATAAGGTTTGGTAGTTGGACACCGAAATCCAGCATATTTGTTTATTTCGTTTAAACTGTGGACAAATTTTTCCGTGTGACTATAGAAAAAGGGAAAAAGAGAAAGAGAAAGGTTAAAAGGAAAACAGAATGCGATGGAATTTTACTGTAAAACGTGCACCAGTGACCCCAACACTTTCACATTGCGATTCGTGTGGCCTCCATTTGGATCTTCGGTTCACGACGTCATCCAGAGAAATAGAGCCAGTGGATGGCAGACATGACATCAGCGATGACTTTTCCAATGAATACTAAACGACAAACCGTGGAATTGGTTCACCGTTCTATGTTCATGATTTCAGGGTAATGAAACAATCATTTAATTTGCATTTAAACAACAAAATGGCGGAGTCGAGCGAAGTAAGTTGCCCGACTGGCATTAATATATTCACGGCGAATCGACGTCATGACGCTGAATAATTACAAACAGAATTCGCGGACGGAAACGCTGGGTAGCTGGTAGGTTTTTCCACCTTTCTGGCCGAGCGATGCGCAATTTCCCTGTAACGCAATCCGACCGACCGTCCACTTTTTCCCTCTCGCTTTATTCCCACCCATGCATATGTACATTTTTTCCGCGGCCGCATGTTTCGCCGCACGGTAGCCTATCCAACACGCTCTGCCTTCGGACGTGCCAGTTATGCTGTTTGCGAATACAAAATCGAGGCAATTTGAAAGAAACCGCGAGCCACGCGTGGCCGTTACCGCGTAAAACTCGCGTCGTCGCTTTGACAGATACGTTCGTTATAAAGGAACGTCGATATCTGTCTACGTATCGATGACAATGTTTATCTGCATCGCGATCGTATTTCGTCCCGTCACTCACCACTCTGCCGTGCCCTTCGACGAACTCACTACTCTGACGAACTTTGCTTTCAACGTTGTTTTTCACGTCCTTTACGTACGGTCGAATTTTAGGTTATCTTCTCGCACGTTCCACTATTACGTAAGTGTTTACATACATTCATGTATACTTTCTCCACTTCTCATACTTTTCCTTTGTTTTTTACTCCTCTCGTTTAGTTTGTCTTCCTTTATATCGAACGTTATAGCAAGCCTAAAATATTTGCGTAAATTATTTATTAGTGTTTACGTACTATGTAGTTCCGCCTTTCGTTTCGGACCTTTTGACGCCTGCGCAGTTAGTCGACAACAACATGGCTGTACGGAAACGTCGAAATAAGATTAAAATTTTTGAATTTGGAATTTTATGCTTAGAATAGCATACAAAGTCAAGAAACCGGTGTTTCATATATCGTATATGTTTATACGAACGGCCGGTTTGAGAATTATGAATAGAACGATATACGATATAAAATCGATGACTCGTTTTAGGATCGCTATCGCAATTACGGTAAACACTTCCAGAATTAGCAATTCCGATGGTGGACCCGGGTTGATATCGATTGCTACTTAATAGAATGTAGCTTCACGAATTTAGACCAAATAAGATTACAAAATCTCCGTCGGCCCAAGTGACGCGATTCGAACAGACGAAAATTTAAATTTAGGAATTCGAAAATGAATGGAAAGTATGGAAATCTATCAGTTTCAATCGAACATTTATAATAATCGAGTCTGAAATTCAGCACAGTCATGCGATACACTGATCGAATTGTGCAGATATCGGTTATGAGACACGGCTACATGACTCGATAATTACGTCACGGTTACCGATATCATTGTGAGGAAGTAACACGAAAAACGGCATTGTATATATATTTCTGTAGATACGCTTCAACGGCGACGAGACTCGCTCAAAATTATTACATCAATCGGTATAACGGGTCGTGAGTTAATTACCGTAAATTAATAACCATTCCGATGCGACGCGAAATTACCGTACGAACCGTGCAACAGAGGAAATGTCGTAACTGAACGGAACGGAACGGAACGGGGTGGAATAGAATCGAATGAACGGAACGGAATGGAATGGAATGGAACGGGAAAGCTTTACCCTGTTATAAAAATGATTTAAATCGTTGTGATTTAAAAGGGTATACTTTTAATTACAATTTGTTTTTACCATTTTTTTAAACCAGGGAAAAATATTCGTGCATATATATCGTTGGTTTGTTTGTTAAAAATAACTAAAGAAAATAAAATGAACAAAAACCGTGAAGTTTAGATAGAAAATTGAATGGGAAAATATTTTCCAAAAATATTAATTCTCTGCTATTAAGTCGCAAATACATTGCGTATGGTAACCATGTAGTAGTGCAGCATGGTAAGACACACAGGCAGCAGATTGCACGCAAAATTAGAATTTTAAATGGAGCTACGTGTGGCTGTTTAGTAAGAAAACATTTACAAATTATTAGCTTGGAATACCGGCGTCGCGTGTTAACCGCACGAAGGTGTAATTACGAACTGTGTAGTAACAAACAACTGGAAACACATTGCGCTCCAATTTGATCGAGGTGATCCATTTTTCTCGGTATTTTCGATCACGTGACCACTCTTGGGTCGAGTCGAAGGCGCGTAACTGTTGCTTCGTACAAGTCTGCACGTAACATGCGTACAACGAACTAAGTTTCTTCTAGAATATGATTGGGACAAGCGAAAAATACTGTGCGTGACAAAATAATATCTAGAATTTCCAGTATTTCTTCAGTAACTTTAAAGCGATATATCTCAGCGAAGAATAATCATACAATTGTAGATCAAATTTCCTTTTACAGGGAAAGGTTAGTAGTATATGATACAATTGATAAAAATATTGAGAAACAAATACTATTTTTGGAATATTTTCGTAAATATCGATACTTTTTATTTATTTCACTTCTAGATGTAACGCAAAGAATAATTTTTATTATAAAACAAAATCTCGTTAACCTATTTTTTCGTACCTGTACTATAATTTTATCGAATCCATTTTTCATATCGACAGCTCAAATTTGTAGAAAGAAGAGTAAACTCCAATATTTTTTGTTTATGATTAAAGGGATGCCTCATACATGTGTAATCCTCTCAGGAGTTTCAAGAAACTCTGAAAATTACAGAGTACGCCACCATTTTGTTGCATTCTGTATCTCAATAATGGTTGTAGCAACATTACTGTTTCAAACTTGTCTCTAATTACCTTTCTTCTTTTACAGCTCCTAGCAACTGGAAGAAAATACAATTTTATTATTTACGATTCTTGCTCATATAAAGTCCCAATCGATATAAGACGATTTAAAGGAATAGCTAATGTTTTAATAACCTGGAAACGATGTAAAAGTCGATGATTAAATTCGAAAAGAAGCTTTTCGGAAACGCGGATGTCAGAAGAGATTGCAATTTGTGAGTAGCTGGACAGGTACTTCGTCTTAATTAAATCTTTTTAAACAGTTAGGTCTACGCTGGATACGGAAGAACAAACTACCGTCAAGTTTAAGGAATTTCTCGAAGAACAACTTGAAGGAGAAAAGGTGGAAAGGTCGATGTATCCGGTTAAAATTGAGGAATAAAAGTGTGGTTCTCGATCTCTCGAAGATCATTGCGTTTCGGTTTCGTTGGATTTTTCATTGGGGACGGTTTACGAGAAAAATGAACGGGGTCTTTTTAAGCAGCTTCCAGTGAAAGCGCTCAAAGGCCGGAAAAGGGCTAATAGCGTACAAAAGTAACGACGTCTTTAAGCCCTCCTACGCATCATCAGTCTAATTCCTTAAAGTGCTCTCTCGCTACGTTAAATCACTTTATCACACGCCATGCTGCATGTTCCTTTCCTGGGTGTAGAATTCATTCTGAATGGCTAAAATGCGATATAAGAGTTGCTACTGAAAGATCGCTTTTCCGAACCATTAGCACTGCCTTACAGTCACCACTCGCAGCTCCTTCTCGCCTAGAACGACTTTCTAATAACGCTCTACGTTAAGTCCACGTGATACGATTTCCCTTCTGACTAGAGGTCAAGATTTACACGGTCGAGATTGCAGATTCGACTCTTATTTACACTGCAACTACCGAACCAGTTATAACGACTGGTTTTAGATTTCACAAAATTAATATTGACTCCTTAAATATCCAAAGTTCATGAACTGGAACTACCGAGACAATTGAGTGGATGATTTTAGATTTTACAAAATTAATATCGACTTCGTGAATATCTCAAGTTCGTAAATAGGTTTATTCAACTCGTCGAAATTTCAGATTTTGCGAGATTAGTATTTACAGAATTAATAACGGTTTCTTAAATGTCCGAAGTAGCGGTACTCTCTATACCAGATTGGATGTATTAGTTCCAAATCAGACAAATTTTTCGTTAAGGTAATATGATTTTGGTATCTACGAACTGTAGAGCTCTGTCAGAATCGAATAAACTTTTCTGACTTAACAAAGGGATATATATGTATTAAGATCAGTAAAATGGATCGTCTGAAGTTCTTATAAGATTTGGTACAAGCACTTGGAGGTACAACCACGTTCGCTTAACTGTCTAAATTGAGTACGTAAGGAAAATTGGATTTCTGTCGTGAATCGTTTCTCTGGAGAAAAATAAGGGCAAACCTACAGGGAAACCCACACTTTAAATGCTAAGTTTATGTACCTCGGATTCGTACTTTAAGGATCTTCAATTCGTGATAAATTTCACGATAAATCTAGTACGAAAGTATACTCATTAGAATTAAATCATTCGCTCAAGTTAGATATAAAATATGTTTGGAAATAAAAATTCATTGAATCACCAAGACAGTTGTTTAATTGCAATTTTTACAGAACAGAAGATGTGTTAGAGGTTTCTATTTACTCTGTAGCATTCTTATCCGCTATTACTATGCTAAATGCCGTGAACCACGAGAGAATATTGTTTTTTCCCTTGGCAGAGCAAATAACCGTCTAGAGGATCCAGCCGCGATAGCGTTGGGAACACATGGAATCGCGCTATTACACGGCAAGATTAAAATTTGAATTGTTACGGATACAAATTTCGGCCTTACATCTTGCTGTAAGTATCTAGCCATTTTCTGAACTATAATAATACGCTTTAATAACTAGAATCATACAAATGCTGATATTAATCGGTAGTTTAAAATACAGGCAGTAGAATATTAGAGAACATTATTAATCTTTCTTTCCTTTCATTATAAATGAAATATTTATACTGTTACATAATTTTTCTTTCAAGAAAGAATTATACTGTTGCATAATTTTTCTTTCAAGAAAAATTTACATACTTTTATTTTCTTCTCTTTTTCTTTCACTATGCAAATCTAAACAGGGTTTTCACTGGAGTCTCATTACAACTAGTATAACAACAATTATTATTCTTTATCAGCTCTTTAACATTTAATAACCTACTACAATTAATTATGTCATGCGTTATACAGAAAATCTAGAACTAAGTAAAGGAACCTATTATAACTATTAATTTATAATATACAAATATATAAATATATTATGCTCAAATAATAGTAAGAATAATTAAAGTCTTATAACGAAAACAATTCATTGTTATATAAAAATTAACGTAACTACAAACTTCTAGGTAATCAGAAAAATCAAAGATCTTAGCTCAGTCATTTTGCTCTGATGCTTGTAATTATTAAAGGCGTATGTTTATTGTAGTTCATCGCATCTTATCTAATAACAAAAACCAACGACGATCGCGATAAAAAGAATTGCATCATTAATTATATAGCGATCACTAGGCGATCTCGCGATTGTTTTGACGATTCTTTCGATGATGCTCTTTGTTTCCGTGACATTCGGCTCCTCCTTTTCTCCAACCAACATTTCTGCAATCTCCTTGCTGAAGACACACGTCCTTCGTTCGGAATCGTAAACGTAGCCAAATCTGCAAACACATTCGTAACCACCGGGCAAGTTCATGCATGATTCTCCATTTTCCAACGAGCAACCGTGTTCACCGCGATTGCATTCGTTCACATCGACGCAAAGGCTGAACATGGAAGACCATTCGTAGCCAGATTCTTGACACTCGCAACTGATGTTGATCTTATTCGCCGCCAAGCTAAGGAAATCCTGATTCTCTTGCCGATTCAGCGTACATTCTCTGGACGCTATAAAAAGCCACAAAAAGAAAATTTATCAGAGGGTCAACAAATGGGTCAGTAATTTGATCCATGTAACCATAATGCAAAAAATCGTATAAATCATTAGTCCATAAGGTGATGTTTGAACTGGTAATAATTACACTTGCGTAACAACATACTCTTACAAATAGATTTCTTGTACACCTTATTTAAATAGAAGAAATGAAGAAAGAAATTAATAGGATAACAATAATGAGGGCAATTCAAATAGCAACATAAACTGTTTAAAGGAAAAAAGTGTTTTCAATTCCGATGATTTTTAAATATGCTGTAAAAATCGAAACAACATTTTCTTACACATGTATATTAAAAAAAAAGGAAAAAAAAAAACGTTACCATTATTATACATTGAAATTCTAATCCAACAGAGTTAGTTTAGGTATTAAGCAGCTGGACGCCATTATGATGACAACAGTACAGATAATAGGATCATTTTTCTTCTTAATTTTCTTTTTTCCCAATTCAATCCTCATGATCAGTGCCACAACATATTTAAAAGTCATCGAAACCGGAAACGTCCTTGCTTTCTAAATAATTACAAAAATAAAACGTTATTAATCTTGAATTACAGCGAAGAAACTGGAATTAAGTGGTTAATTAATAAACATCTCGTGGTGAGCGTGAGGCGCGATAACAATGCCTTTGACGAGCGAAGTAATGCAATATCTCGCAGGAAATTAGCCCGAGCACCAGGGATCCAAAACGGCGGCAATCCTCTTATGGCAGGAGTGTAAGGTGATTCCTACGCACCCGGTGGGTTCTCAGCGTAACAAGGATTGAGCGGCGACTGATGGCAATCCGTCATGCCCCGGATGCGCTTCATGGGACAACAATGATCCGGACAGAAACTATAAAGAGCGCAGGCATATGGTTCCGTATCATCGGCTCTCGGATCCTCGTTCCCGGTCCCCGATTCGACCTGGCAGTTGGCGTGGTTATCGCAGGTCTCCCCGAAAATGCTCAATTCTGGGACGCCGAGCATCGTGTACCAGCACATGTAGTAACTCACCGTAGTGCGCCACTGGAACCGTTCTAAGACAAAATTTTCTTCTCTTTATTTGATCTGCATGTCGACGAGAATAACCTACAAGATAAATACGTTCTCGTTTTGACCGTTTTGGTAATCGAGTTTCTTGACCAGTCGATAAACCTTCGCAATTCTACCAGAACAGTTTGAAGTTCCATGAAGGATGAAAGTGGGACATTTCGGAACGAAGTTATCGAAGGTCGGGAAACAAAAAAATAAAAAATGTCTTCCCTGAGAGAATTCTTTTAGGGTATAGATCATTGACTTTCCTTTCTTGTTAGAAGGGTCTCGGGGAAGCATGGTACTTACCTATTGGACCTTGAAAGGGAGGCATGGTTAGATTGTCACGCCTCTGAGCCACCTGACAGTCCTTTTGAGCGGCTAGAACTTGTTTGGCATTGTCGACAAGATTCCATTTCTGTTCTTTCATGACCGTGACAGTGTCATCCTCTCGCTTCAGGGCAGTTTGCTTAATGATCCTTTCCAAATATTTCAGGCATTCGACGAAACTCGCCTCGCAGTGTCTGCGCAGAATGATCCACGTCATCGTTATCGACACTTTTCCAGCTTTTCATCCTAGGTCAGATTTTCGTTTTTACCACTAGATATTTTAAAACGATTAATTGGTACACGTGTCGGATTCAAACGAACTGAGATTAAACGAAAATGCCAACCATTCGTTGTTAATTGATTTTCCAATTACGCATGCTTCCAACGGAATAAATCGACAAATTTTTTTAGCGTGTAGAACGAATGATAGAAAATAATTTACTTCAACCAGCAACAAGTAACGACGAATACGATAACACTGTTGTTTCGTATCCGAATGATGTTATACGTTACACGAACTCGTAAAAGTCATGTCCGAACATCGATCGTTGTACGACATATTTATTTGTGGCCAATGAATATGCAATGCGTGTAATAGATTTATTTATACTTGGAATAATTCGATTTATCCTACTGTATAATGTAAGCAGCCACACTCGAAGCTAATACTCAAAAGTCCATAAATTGGATTATTCTTTAAAAATTTCCACAAAAATATACGTCAGATAACCTATTTATCTATAAATATAAATTTGATTACATGTTATAACCTATAAATTATATTCGCTTCGTGGCTAGAATTTCCACTAAGGGGCCAAGACGTATTACCAAACATCGACAACTTATTCAATGCTATTTTATCAAAGCTTGATATTCGAGCATATTTCGAGCGATTCGAGTTTCGAATTAATAATGATTACCGAATCGGATCAAATTTTATTACCTACGCACTTCCCAATGTAAAGACCTTAGAGGTGGTTTCGGAAATTCCTCGTAAAGTTTGCTCAACGAATCCTCGGGATGCTTGTAATACCGGCGGTCATAGTCTTGAAATTTGTGTGCCCGAATATAATAGGCGATATCTCGTATAACCTTGTTCCCGTCCCAGTTCGCATCCCAGTCTGCAGTGGCTTCTTCCACGTCCGGCACGTCCGTTATTTTTATGTTAGGATCCATAACCTGTTCCGTCATCGGCACGGCCTCAATTTCCTTCTGCTCCTCTTCATGCTCTTCGGTTCTTTCCGTGGCGCGCTCGGTCGTCTCCGCCAGAGCTGTCGTAATTGCCAGTGCCATTCGTTCCGTCGTGCGGAACACACGGAACACGTAGAAATGTAAAAGCGCGTAGAATATTATTTTCATCGTTCGCAATCACCGATTTTGCTCTGTTCCTACGAACAACGTTAATTCAAAGGAACGTAAGAGAAATGTTTGTACGCCGGATGTTACAAAAATAAACGTGTTTGGATCGAGTGAAATAATTTTCACACGCAAATCGAAATGAAAGAAAAACCGAACCGTGCTCTCTGTTTCAATTTAACCTGGACGTATAGAAATTTTTATTTTTCAATAATAATCATTATATTTTTATAACAAACCTGTGTTCTTTTTAGAGTTTGTTTTTGTTTTTTCGAACCACGAGTAGTAAATTGAATTGTTTTTCCAGAATGTTTAATTCTGGCCGTTTCAGATGTATCAATGAAGGAAATTGGTAGACACGATACATCAGTGTACCTGTTCGCAACTACTCGAAAAATAAATCGTCGCATGGGCACATGCACATCGTGCAATTTAATTCGACGGTGACGTCGCGGAATATGCAAAGTATACACGTTCAAATTTAATAATTCATGAAGATTTTACGAGTTTATTTTACTGGTTAAACTCGAGAGGGAGATGAAAGCAGTAATATACCCACTATTCTTGTACTTACCTGTTTATATCTAATTGAATTATTGAGCCACTGATTACATAACCTACGGTTTACGAGTACAAGATAATATCGCGTTACGTCACACCCTCTGGAGAGTTTATATAACTTCGCATTTTGTTAAATTTCGTAATATTATTCTCGCTGCTATTTCACAAAAAATTTTCACTTTCAGTATATCATTCAAATTTGCACTCGCCATGGAATTCTGAATAATAAATCTTTGTTTAAGGAAAGCAAAAAATTGCAATATCGAATCAGGCAAAATTTAATTGGCGTTTGAAATAGCGAACAGCAAATTTAACCGTTCGGAAAAATTTCCGGTAGTTGATTGCGAGACAAGGGAACGTTTTGGGTGAGAATTTCCAAATCGGATCAAAAACATCGAAGTTTCGGATCGACATTGAGAGGCCATCTGGTTGGGTCTCGTTCGACATCGCAGAGGCGGTCTGTTCTTGCGGACGTATTTCGTTCTTTTCTCAGATTGGCGAGCAAATGTTGACCCAGTTTCAGCTTTGGATTGGACGCTACTCGCTCTTC